TTATATATCACACTAGCTGCAGATGGAATGTGCAGATGGGAAGGGGGTCACATAAGAGGCAAGGAGGTCAACTCCTATGCTACTGTGGTAATCCAGCGATTGATGAAGATGGCCTGAACCACATTGTAGAAGAGATGAAGTAGAGGTGTTTCATAAATGTTTATCATGTAAAATTGTAGAGCTTAGGGACTGCTTAGAATTTTACTGATTGAATGTCCAGATTGGATGATGTTGCCATTATCTGATATAGATCTACATAAGAAAAATGACCCAGCCTTACAGAGAAGATTATTAATGGAGTTTTGGATACATTAAACTTGAAATGGTTCGGATTATTTAATATATTCTTGTGAAGTTCATGCCAAAGATCAGAACTGAAGAGATTTGATATTTATCTGCATTTAGCTGTGAAGCAAGACTGACAGTGTGTGAGATTCCTGGAGAGCTTAGGAAGAGCCCATCCAGAGAGAACCAACAAACCTACGAACATATGAATAGCAAAGTGCTAAGGGAGGAAAGAGGGTAAGGAACCCATGGATGAAGCTAAGAGGGAAGGGTCAGAGAGGTGGGGAAGAATCTCTGGCATACAGGATTTCCCAAGAAAGCTGGACCAGTCGATGCTACCAAATAAAGGAGAAAGGCCTGATGAGATACCGAGAAAGCAGCCCCCTGGAAGAGCACAATGCTAACCCTCGTCCTACCAGACCAACTTAGGTGGAATGGAGGGTCCAGAGTCAAGAGTACAAGAGTCAGAGTGAGGCCATGGGAAACAGGGACAGATGGCTATAACGGTCCTTTAAAGCAGGTGGACTAAGGAAAAAGATAAGTGAGAGCTAGACATGGGCCCTGGCAGAGAGCAGCACTTGTTTGCAGATGAAATGGAGGTAGACGAAGGAAAGAGAGTATTTCAATTTATAGAAATGAGAGCTCAATTGGGACAGCAAGATCCTCAATGAGATGAGCACAAACAAAACATTGGAGAACAAATTCAGAAGGTACTTCAGAACAATTCAAAGAGTTAGTGAAAATTTTTATAAAAATATGTACTAGGGTTTTTATCTATGATGATTGAAATAGATTGCCCTATCAATTTCTGTGTCTCGGTTACTCTCAAATTACCTTTGGGTAAATTTCCCAAGCGATCCTCATAAAAGTCCCATCAGATTGACACAAGTGAGTACTATTTCCTTAATTTCAATGGAAGCCAGGTGCAGTGGCACAGGCCTATAATCCCAGAGACTCAGGAGGCTGAGGCAGGAGGATCACAAGTGCAAAGCCAGCCTCAGCAACTTAACTATTGAGGCAATTTAGCAAGGCCCTGTCTCAAACTACAAAACAAAAGGGCTGGGGATTTGGCTCCATGATTTAGTGCCCATGGGGTCAATCCCTGGTACCAAAAAAAAATTTTTTTCAACGTGAGGATGTGAAGGCCCAGTGAAGCTAAAGGACTCTGCAGGTTGCAGAGCTGCTAAAGAGAACGATGACCAGGACCCAGGTGTTTTCTTCTGTGAGGTTTGGACAAGGCTTTCTGTACCCGTGAAACTACGTAGACTACTACAAGGCTGTGGTCCTATGTTGAAAGTCGAGTTTCCACCAACAATGTAGTTTATTGTTACCTTAAAACTGAATTCATGCTGGTACAGTGGCTCATGCGAGTAATCCCAGTGGTTCCAGAGGCTGAGGCAGGAGGATTGCAAATTCAAAGCCATCCTCAGAAAGCGTGAAGCACTAAGCAACTCAATGAGACCCTTTCTCTAAATAAAATATAAAATAGGGCTGGGGGGGGCTGGAGTTGTGGCTCAGTGGCAGAGAACTTGCCTCACACATGTGAGGCACTGAGTTTGATCCTCAGCATCACATAAAAATAAATAAACAAAATAAAAATTTAAAAAAATAGGGCTGGGGATGTGACTGAGTGGTTAAGCGCCTCTAGGTTCAATTCCCGGTAATTAAAAAAAAAAAAAAAAAGCTGAATTCACAATTCTGATTAAATAGACATCCCAAATAGAGAAAGAAAATAATGAGACTCTTTCTCCTTTCCAAACCTAAACTTTAAAAGAAAGTTTAATATTATATCAGAATGTTATGGGGACCAAGTTCCATTCATTTATTAATGTTAATAATTAATTTATTAATGTTGCTAACATTACTGCTTTCTCTGTAGAAGGCAAGACATGGATAAGGGAAACAATGTTTTACTGGAATTTCTCTGACACACTATTCCTTAGACAATTCATTCAATATAAGATGGAACCATCTTGATTTCTTTTGAAGATTTAGTTGTGAGTGTATCAATAAAATTAAATTAAAAACCTAAGGCTGCCAATATGGGTCATACCTTTAAAGCAAAAATTCCCACAGAATTGACTGTCCCTACCCTATACAAATATCAAGAATAGATTGCCTTGTAAATATAGAATATGACCATTCATCCATCTAACATGAAATTTAGATGAGTGCATGAAATTTATATAGAAAGAAACATAAAGGAAAACTAACTTGTCAGTATCTTCTTAACAATTCCATTTGAGCCCAGAAAACTTTTTCAAGCTGTAAATTTTATAGTTAAAAAAAAATCAAATACCTCACATTTATTAGTAAATTGAGAATGTCTCATGTCACATCTTTGAGGAAGTTTCCAGTTTCAGGGATATAGACCATATAGAATATTATGCCAAAGAATTAATCATGTCATTAACTCTTAGATAGACTTGTTTTGTATAACCTTGTGCAACTTACCCAAATGTATATCTTACATTAATTATTCACAATTCTAATATTTTCCCCTACCATTACTAGCTCTCTCAAATGTAAGCCTAAACTTTTCAATTTTGTGATCTCAGAGCTCCATAAGTTGGTAGTCCCTGTTCCAACATCTTTCAAAGGCCACACAAGGCCAGTGATGACACATGAATTATCCTTCAACCTGGGCCAGGCTGAATGCTTAAAAGAGATTTCATTCTCTGACCACAGATACATGATTCCAAACTTGTAAGTCCCAGCTTCTCAAACCAAATCTTCCTCCTGTTTTTGCACACACACACACACACACACACACACACCATCCTGCATTGTGTGCATGTCTAGAATGATCAGCACCATGAATGTCAGGCCTATGGTGACAGTGCTGAAGGTGTGAAGAGCAGGAAGAGACAGGGAAGGTTGAAGACAAAAAGTATACATTCACCTAGAAACACATTTGCTAATGTACCTCCTTTGCAGAGTAGAATGGTAGACCTAACCCACCTTGAGGGGCCTTTGGGTCTTGGCTGTTTCTCCAGAAATTATGGTGAATTTGCAATGGTTTACCTACACACTTCAGTCACCATTATGAGTAAAGGGAATGACTAGTAAGTGAGACATCACCAAAATCTCAGAGTGTAGTTTCGGAACATAGAAGCCAAGGGGACTACATCCAGAGCAAAAGAAGGTTAGTCAGAGATTTAATATAGTGGTTCCCAGTGTGAGTCAGAGCTCTCTGTAGAGCTTTGAAAATATAAAGATTCTTAGCCCACATATGTACCTACTAAATCAGGATATTTAGACAGAACCTATATAGGTAACAAGATCCCCAGTTATGCAGTCAACTCAACACTGATCTGTGGATTACTTACCAACCAACCTGAATCATGGTTAAAGCATACACTGCATTGTTCAATATAAAAAATTCCACTAAATCTATCGGTCTACCAGTCAACATATGTATACTCTTCAGAATAAAGCTTCACTTTCATTTGGACGAAAGTTCTAAATACATCTAAATTTACCTGAAGAGAAGTAGGAAGCAGAAAAAAAAAATGCAGCCTATTATTTAAGTGCCAGTGACTCTGGCTGGCTCTGTAGTCTGCTCAATAATAACTAATAACCAGAGTGCATCTGGCCACTCAAGGATATTCTGTTCATTCAAACTACAAGATCCTTTCCAATTAAAGTGGGCAACACATATGCTCATGGCCAGAACTAGAGTTGCCTCCTAATAAATATTCTTCCTCATAGCCTACATAGCAAAATTCTATTTAGTGGCATACATTGCCAGTTCTGCCCAGCTAGAAGGCTTTATTTCCTAGACTACCTTAAAATTTTGTGTGACCATAGATTAAATTCTGGCCAATTATAAGTTTTAAAAGACTTAAAAGTCTCAATTGTTTAAAAGGATGGGGTCACAGCCTTTAGCTCCTCTCTCCTATTCCTCTTTTCACAAGCCTGGAAAGTACATGTAATGGCTGGAGCTCTAGCAGCCATCTAGGGGAATAAAATCAAAAACTATACCCTAGGGACAGAAGATGAGAAAGAGAAAAAAATTGAGTTCCTGAAGATTTTGTGGAATATGCCAGCATTTTACTAATTATTTAAAAGCTTCTTTTACATAAGGAAAAAAAACCCTCATATATACATACATATTTTGGAGGGGTTTAAACTACTACATTCTGATAAATACAGCTGGACTCAAATTAAAACAACCTTTATACAAGTCTGCATGTCCCATATGATCTACAATATCTATTTCAAGATTAATGAGTTTAAAATAATTTATGAGTAAACAAGTATGTTAAACTATGTATTCATATATTATACCTCTTTGAAATGATACCATTCAAGTACTAATGAATTTTAAGTCTCTGCTTCTTCATAGTGGGATAAATGACAGTTATAACACCATAAAATGCAAGAGATCATAATATAGAAAGGTCTGTGAGCCCCTCTTAGTGATGAAATTGACTTGGGGATAGAAGACCAGTGCAGGGTTGCAGTTTGGGTGTTGGGAATTTATGATCCATGAGCCAAATTTGGCACTCAGATGTATTTTATTTGGCTTATGTAATACTTTCTGAAAATATTAATTTTGAATGCTTAAAATGGACATGCATCTTCAGTTCTTCACAAGCTCTATCATCCCCTATTAATGTACAAATACTCACTTGCTTCACTTGTTTATATTACCTGCCTGGCCCCTGGAAGCACTGAAGTTTACAATATTGGAAATAAAATTATATCTCTGCACCATTCCTTCTCTCCATACCTCACTCAATGTTGAATGCAATGATCTAAGATTATTTTCTAAGATTAAGTGTGCCTACTTCTAATAATAAGAATGTATATAGTTCCCTAGATGTTAGACTTTTATTTTCACTATAAAAACTCTGGTATTTGCTCTTACAAAAAAACAAGTGTGGAACCTTCCAAAACCTCCCTACACACACACACACACACACACACACACACACACTTGAAAAGTTGACTTGGTCATCTTGACCCATTTATTTTTGCTATTTAATAGTTACAACTGAAGTTAGCCCAACTCCTAAACTTTTTCTTCTCAGTTTTTATGAATTAAACAAAAATCAAATCAGCTCTTAAATTTTATGGAAAAGTAGTACCATTTTGGGCCTAAAATGCTTAAAATTTTTTTATTTACTTTGATGTTATTCATATGTATTTCCATCAGGCAGACATTGTGTTTATGTTTTACATTTCTAGAAAATAACCCCAGTAAAATATACCTTTAAGTCATAAAAATAAAAACTCATAAACATGCACTTACATACAATGACAGTTCTCTACATTTCCAAGGAAACATATTTGTATACAAAGTTAATACTATGGCTTAGTTATACCAAAAATTTGAAAAAAAAAAACATACTTTTTAAACATGCAGACCTTAGACATTTATTTTATTTATTTATCTAATTTTCTCTTCCTCAAATTCAAAAATCACATAGAGTTTCTAAATTCTGACAATTTTACTAATCTTGTAACATGCCTAGAGAGGAAAAATAAAGTATAGAAAGTATCCATAAAACATCAATAGACATCAAAATATTCATGGTAAGTACATACAATATGTAAATAGCTTGGAACTCACTGTACTCTGGACATTTTTCTGTATTATCCTTAATTAAGACCATAAGTACTCTTTTTGCTATTGAATTTTTATCACATGTATTAACGCAGGTCGATTAATAAAATAGAGGCATTTGTTCTCTATAAAATTTGATGTTTGGAATTCCAGTTTCTGTGCTATTTGATTATGTGGGGGAGAGGGGTTGGTTCAGGGTGGGGACTTCACTGCACCAAGCATCACATTCTTAACACCTATGCAAATCAGTAGTGAGGAAAAATAAGTTCTCCCTATTTTTCAGAAACACCTACAGAGTAATTACAACTATTTAGAAAGTTTGTTTTTTTCTTTGTTTGTTTTTAACATATGGCCTCTCCTATATGCCTTTTGAAACATTTATTTATTCACATTCTCAATTATTTCTATGCCTTACAAATGTGACTAATTTTAAAATAAATTAAGGATGAAAGTTTAAAATTAAAGTTGGTCACTTTGGTGAGGGATTTCACAATCAGATTTTCTATTTCTATTAATTTTTCTATGTTTGTTCTCCTTTATCCTAACTTCTACTTTCTGTTCAATTACCTCCCCCATGCCTGCAAACAACACGTTTTTCATGCCTTTACAAAGAAACTCAAGCGTTTTTACTTTTTTACAAGTTGCCTCATTTTTTTTTGAATCATAAAAAAGCAACATAAAAAATTCCAAGATTTTAGAAAAGTGCCCCCTCTATGGGACTCCTGACAGATTGTTGAATCTTCAACTTCAGATTTTTATTTTCTCTCTTTAAAAGTTTTCAGAACTTATGGTCTCTGATACTTTTTACAAACATCTTTAGAGCAAAAGTACACAGGGGAGAGGAGCAAAAAAGAATATATAACACACACACACACACACACATACAAGTATACACACACACATATATACAAATGAATACGGAGATTATGAAAGACTGTAACAAGAAAGGATAATGCATGTGCTGTTTTAAAAGTTTGATGTTTATGGTCATGAAACTCTGTAAGGGCCTATTAGAAGAGTACTGCATGTATTTGAAACTTCCACCCTCAAGAGTCAGGATTTAATAATTAATGAAACCAATTTAAAAATATTCTTATCTTCTCCTTTAGCCATGCAGTTTTGCTTAACCGTATATCCCAATCCTAACATATGCAAATCACATGGGGGGGGGGGGGGATTCAGTAACCAGGCAAGCAAGATTTGTCTTTAAAAGAAAAAACGAAAAGCAAAACAGAACAAAAGCTTGTGTCTGTGGGGGAAAATGCCCATAAAAGTACTCCATGCCAAATAAGCTATATGTAAGGCATGCTGATTTCCTGCCTTCCGCCCTCCAACCGGCAACCACCACTGTCCTGATAATCAAGTCAGTGGGGTGGGAAAATACCACTGTTTAAGAAATCTGGCTTCTATCAGCCTCTATCTTGGAGAAATAAAGGAGACTCCCTTTCAGTATGCAGAAATAACTGTAAGATCACAAACAGAACTGGGAAAAAGAAGTTAAGTTTCTGTAAAGAGAAAAGAATGGGGAGCCAAAGACAAAGAAATATCAGAGCTATCGGAGTTCCCGCAGGGGTTTTTCTAAACAAAGAATTTTATGAAGCAGCTGAAGTTCCGTACAAGAAAGACTCCACCCTACCCAGCTTCTGCTGAGACTTTTCCCCGCTCGGAAAGCTCCAGCCCACAGAACAGACTTCTCTGCAAACTCAAGTGCCCTTCGCGCTCCGATTGAAGAAGAGTCTTTTAAACTGCCCACTCCCACACTCAAGCTAAGGAACCGATTCTGGGCTTTTCCCCCTCGAAGTAGTTAGCAGTGTCCCCTCCAAGGGCAGGTAGAGGCGCTCCCGATATACAAACATCCCCTTTCCCAGGTGCAAATCCTTCAGCCCCCTTCTCAAACTTCAAACCGAGCCTCCTCTTCATGCTCTTCCTGAGGCTTAACATTCCACCTCTGTTCCCAAACCGAGCAATAAACACCGCAAGCAAAGCAAAAGGCAAACTCACCATCCTGGCCTCCTTGCTGGGCTTTTATTGAGACAAATTGCCCTAATAAAACAGTAAGAATGAGGAGAGATCTTGCTTCCACCCAGTTTGCCATCATATCTAAATATTAGACATGTGGATCCTCCTGGGAGTGAAAAGTAGATTCTGGGATTATTGTAGCACCATGAAGGCAGCTGTGGGCTCTTCTTTCAGCACCAGCACCAGGGCAGCCTCAGCAATCCCCCTTTTTCAGCACCAGCTCCAGCACAGTCTGTGAAAACTTTTTTCAAGCGATGCAGCTTTAAATAGGAAGAATGCTGCCTCCACTTCTTTTCCTGCCCCCTTTCAGCTTGTTCAGGCTCATAACCATCCAGTGTCTGCCAAGCAACCGTCTGATTGATGGTAAACAACCGAATCAGAACACGCCTCTTGGTGCCTGAAACTGTCCCAATTTCATGTATGCTTTAAACACAGATGGAGCGAAATAACAGACACAAAACTTTTATTTCTCTTTCCTTTTATTTTTAAAGAAAGCCTGTTAGAGGAAAAGAATCCTATTCTCCCCTCCCTAAACCCTTTCTCCAGACTCACACCCCTTATTTTTTCCACTATAGGCTGAAAAAGAACATACAGAGGAAATGCCTAATTTTTGGCATTTGGGTAATTCAGGACTCTCTTCTCCACCTTAAACCTTTGAAGAGTCACATTTTAACCCTTTCTTTTGACTACACAGAAAGGATTCTTGTCTCCTTCTTAGATTGTGTTTCTTATCCCATACTCTGGAAGGGGAGTATTAGACTGAAGTCCAAGTAAAATCAGGTGAAAAAAAAAAAAACAATTTTAGGCAAATGAATTTGAAATACATCATACTTCAAATTAAGTTCTTTCCATTTCTCTTAAGGGGCCACATCTGCAGGTTCCTCTTTCCCAGACAGTTTTATTGTGTAGAAAAATAATCTACTGAGCTCTTGCAGAGGAATGGGAAGAACGCTGCCTTTGGATGCAGAAAAGCTCAGTTCAAACACCAGATCTGCCACTCACCAATTTTGTAAACGTACACATAGTCCTTTATCTCTGTGCACTCCAATTTTCTTGTTTGAAAAAAGGGCTTTGCCCTGACGAGTGCTCAGGATTTGGTGACACTAAAATGAGTAATATATTATTAACTAAGTTCCAAATTGCAAAGAGCTGCATAAAAGTAGATGGTAGTGTTATCAACCCTGGACCAGCTTTTCAGGAAATATGGCAGAACCAGTTGCACGTGCCTTTTAAGACCAATATCTGTAAACTTATGAAAACCTCAGGCCTGTCAAGATCTTAGTGACCCTCAGTGTGTTCTTTATAATTGAACAAAAAGAAAGAATCAGAATGGATGCCCCACACACTATAGCGTAGTCAGCTACTGAGTAATGGTCAGACCCCCCCACCCAGGACAAGGCCAAGTAGTGGAGGGAGAGGATGACACAAAGGAAATAAAAAGCATGCCCATCACCTTCAAGGAACAAATGTAGATGCTGAGAAAATAAATTTGCATAAAACAAATAAATATGAGCCAGAGCATATACATATATGCAGAATGCATTAAGCACAATAGAAATATTGAGAAAAGAGAGTTTATAAAATGAGATTAGACAAGTTAGGAATTACTATATTTAAAAAAAAATTTCCTCTATCAGCAACATGGAGGATTCTTTTTAAAATATTTTTAGTTGTAGGTGAACACAGTATCTTTATTTTGTTTATTTGGGTTTTTTTATGTGGTGCTAAGGATGGAACCCAGTGCCTCATACATGCTAGGCAAGCGCTCTACCACTGACCCACAACCCCAGCACCAACTAGCATTTTTTCTTAACAAAAGAAATCCAAGAATCTTGCAGTTTAACTTTGAAGTATAATCTCTAAAGAAGTATTCCAGAGAAGGTCAACTTCCCAAGCACATCTAACTTTCTAACCCTGTACATATCAGTACAACTTGTCACTTGAGTCATGTCTCATTTCAACGACTGCTATCACCAGCATATAGCTCCCAAGGGTGCAGCCCTGCTCCCATTGAATGAATGGCTGAACCAAGACCAAAAACCACTCTTTTGCTAATTCTTTGTACAATACCTGAGAGAGGGAAAGACTTAAAAATTGTCTTGCTCGATATTGAAGAGAGAGACAGGAAAATAAAGAAATGCAGAAGGAAAATAGCTACACTCAGAACTTGCCAGTTCTATTCAACTATGAGACCATTTTAGACATCAATATCATTCTTCTACCAAAGGGTTAGCACAGTTTCCAAGTATCTCGTGTGGATTCCTTAATGAAGTGCACAGATAACAGACTTGTATAGAGAATCTTTAACTTTCAGAAACTATTCTCCATGCTGAGTGTACAAGATGATAATATTGCACAGTCTGTACTAGTCAGTGTACATAACAGTGTCTGCTCAGATGAGTATCCTACAATCTGTTATTTAAAGTTATTATTGTCTTATTAATCCAGTTATTTTAAACTTAACTGAAATCACATTTCAGTTTATAAAGGAAACATTAAAACACAATGCAACCTCTCATTAAAACACAACCTCAACCTCCCCCCAGTTTCTGCCACCTCTTTCCATTATGGTATGATAAGGGTATAGCAAATATTTTCATGAAAGCTGAGATAAATTAGCATTCTATAATGTCCTTTTGACATCTATTGCAGTCAAGGCATAAGTAGTAAAATATTTTGCTACTTGGGTTTTCCTTCCATGCTTGATTTTAGGATTCTATATTACAATTTGGAAAAGACTAAAATGTACACAGGTGTTGACCAGGTGTGCATACTTAGTAGATAGAGGATGATGATATTTTTTAGTACTTGAAGAACTGATTCTAGCCCTCAGTGCTAGAACAAGGAGCTCAGAATTCTATCCCAATTCCAATAAACCATCGCAACAGTTCACAAATTATTATATGTTGAAGTTAATATTTTTACCAATTCTTACAATGACCCTAAAAGGTAGTTTTTTTTCAGATTATATGTAAAGACTTTTGAATCAAAAAGCTTAAAAGCTAAATTTTTCTCAGCTAGTAAGTGGTGAATTAACAATTCTATTTCAGTGTTGTCCCATTCCAAAGTCAATGTTCTCATCTGCTTCCTTAAACTACCAGACCTCATACTTCCAGACTCAGGAGAAGGGAAGGCTCAGCATTCTCTCACAGTGGATCTCTCACTCTCAATTCTTTATTCCATCCCTTCAATCCCCTCAGAACATTACTTTCTCAGGGTCCTTTCTCTTCTCTACCTTCCACCTCTCTTCCTCTACTAGTCCACTTCCTGAAGCTATAAACCTGCTCCCTTCCTGTAGCTTAACTTTCTTTGAAGAGGGGGTTGGGGCTGGGAGGGAAGAAAGGAGATTTCACTCAACCTCACATCTTTCTCTGTCTAATTTCTCCTCACACTTCTTCACCTCCTAGTCATCTTCCACGCTCTGTATCACTAGCACTGCCAGAGACATCAACAACTCTTTGCTAATAAGACCAAAGATTATTCTTCTTTCCTCCCCATAGTGTTTGATGTCTGACTACTCACTCTTACTGAAACCCTTTCCTCCCTTGGCTTCCCTGGTCCCATGTATTCCTCTATGCTAATTCCTCTCAGAAAGTTATTTATGCTTGCCAGTGACTACCAACTGTTTTTCCCCCTGATCACACATTGTCCTGGGCTATATAACTATTAGATCCCTTAATTTCATTTCCATTTCTGAGGGTTTCATTTGAATATCTTCCTCTAAACAGATCCATGAGACTCAAGTCCAAAATAGAATCATTATCTCCCATTGTTCTTTATGCCAATTAACACTATCACTGTTCTCCTTATCCCATGAGAGGAGACCTTTCTTTCTCCATCAATCCACCTTCAATTGGTCACCAAGTCCTATCAATTTTGTCATGCAGTCCTTCTCTCAATTATATTCATTTCCTAAAAAATTGAATTCCAAGTGCTTACAGGATATAACATGATATTTTAAAATAATATCAAATGCCTGCTTCTTGATTCCCACCTCCTTCTTCTTTCCTCTTATCTCATCCATAAGAACAGATCTTCCTGAGTCTCACAAAGCAGTTTCACACCATAGAATTTTACTTCATCTGAAATAACCACCTCCCTGGTCTAATTAATTCCTTCATTTAATAAATGTTTATTGAGTATCTATTATCTGCCAGGTTCTATTCAAGGACACTGAGAATATAGCTCTGAAAAACACAATGTCCCTGATGTTGTGGACTTTACAATTTTGGAAAAACAACAAGTAAGAAAATATGTGAACATGGTAATTTCAGACAATATGTCATAAAGGAAAGAGACATTCTGTTGTTTTAGATTTCTCAATGACAGGATGAATGCAGCAGAGGAGGTTATGAGGAAACACTCATTTAAGGAGGTAGCAATGAAACTGAGACCTAAAATATGAAAAAGATTTGTCATTGAAGAAGTGGCGATGGGGAGGTATTCCTGATAATGGAAACCATAAGTGTAAATGTATATTAGTTTTCTGTTGTTGCCATAAAAATTACTATTGATTTTATGGCATAAACAACACATATGGATTATCTTATTGTTCTATAGGGCCAAAATCTGACATGGATGTTATTGGGTTGAAACCAGTGTCAGCAGGGCTATGATGCTTTTAAGAGACACAGAGGGAGAATCTGTGTCCCTAATTTTTGAGTTTCTAGAGGTCATCCTCATGCGGCCTTTCCTACATCTTCAAGCCAGAGACAAGGCATCCCCCTGATACAACTTTTATTCTCTAACCACAACCTGGAAAGGTCCTCTGCTTTTAAGGATCCATGTGACTATACCAAGCCCACTTGGATAATCCAAGATAATTTCCCCAATTGCAAGACCTTTAATCACATTTTCAAAATCATTTTTGGTATGTTAATATAACTGAATTCACAGGTTCCAGGGATTATGACTTGGGCATCTTTGGGAGCCATTATTCTTCCTACTCAAAACAGAAATAAGCTTTGACTATACAAAAGTAGAGAGAAAACCAGATGACTAGTATGGTATAAGGTTGAACACAAAGCTTATAATTAAAACATTATAGATAATAGGGAGAAGATTGAATTTTTTCTAACTTCAATAAGAAATCATCAATGGGTTTTAAACAGAAAAATCACATGCTCCAATTTACTGATTTATAGAAAGTGAATTGCATGTGAGAAATGTGTCACAACAAGGTAAAAAATGGAAGTGGAAGCACCCATTAGGTAGGAATTTTAGTTCAGTAAGATGAAGATGGTTTGCACTAGGGAAGTATGGTAAAAATAGAAATGAAGGAGTCAGGATAAATTTTGAAAGTAAATATGCTGAT